CCGATTGCAGCCTTTCAGTACTTAAAGGGAGCCTATAGGAAAGATGGGGACAATCTTTTTAGTAGAAACAACAGTGACAGGACGAGGGGCAATGGTTTTAAACTAAAACAGGGTAGGTTTAGGCTAGATATAAGGAAGAAATTCTTTACAGTGAGGGTTGTGAAACACTGGAACGGGTTGCCCAGAGAGGTAATGGAGGCCCCATCCCTGGAAACATTCAAGACCGGGTTGGACAGGGCTCTGAGCTACCTGATCTAGTTAGCGATGTCCCTGCTCGCTGCAGGGGGGTTGGACTAGATGACCTCTAGGGGTCCCTTCCGACCCAAAGCTTTCTATGATTCTATGAAGTTCAGAATACTACTTCCAATTTTTTGACTCACAATGAACTCACTATTGTGAGGGTATCTATAATATTAGCAAGTAGCATCAGGCAAATTTGCCTATGTACTGAAGGGTTCATGCAAGTATTTTTAAACTGAGGTGTAGACCCCTCCCCCTGTATTTTGTTGCTTAACTTTTGCTTGAACCATGGTTAATTGCTTGTCTTGGTGAGTAAATACTGAATATCTTTATGGATTTAAACCTTAATAGTAGGAGGGCTGCAACACCTCTAATTTGGACTTTTGTGGACTTTTACACTGTTGTTTTTAAACGGTTGGACATTTTACGCTATCTTGGATAGTATAGGATTACTTATTGTGCATGTGTGGAAAAATAATAAAGGGCTTATAAATTTCTGCATCACCCTTTGACTTTCCTGTGGTTTTTGAGTAAAGCAAATATAAACCAAGTGAGATGGGTACTGTACAAAGGAAAAGCAGTGGTGGTCTGGGAAGATCAACCATTCCCGAATCAGACCTCAATCACTTCTATTGGATTTTCTCTCTCTAATTTTGAGAGATTGTACAGTGTTTGTACCAATTTTGAATGATTGTACAAAGCTAATAAAAATCAATCCTCAATTTAATAAATGTTAAAATCAGAAGATTTTTTTTAAAAGACATTTCTATTTTCTTCTTTTGAAATTTTTAACAGAAAAGTCAGCAGTGGCAGCCATGTTACGGCTTTCCATTTATGTCTAAAGATGACACTTTTGCTTCTGACTTGTGTGGAGAAAATGCAGGAATAAGAGACCATAAAAGACAAAAGGAATATACGGAGATGTGGAATTTATTTTCCAGTTCTGAAAGAATCTCCTCCGCTTTTACATCAGAGAACGCATTTGAGAATGAAAGGAGTAATTCAGAACAGGAGAGCTGTGCTTGTCATTGTGACATTGGAAGTAGTTTAATTCACTCTAAAAATACTAATACTTTAAAGACTAAGAATGCTCCTTATCAGAATGTTTTATCTACTTCTTTACAAAACCAGGACTTGAATAATGTGGCTTATCCGCTCTGCCAGGTTGAAAATTTCAGTCATTTTGACAGTAAAGTGATTACTTCTCCAAATTGTGACAGCTCAAGAACTGAATCTGTTTCCACTTGAAACAGCTGTCTCCTGCAGGATCCTTAATGGGTGCTAATGAGGAGGCTGGCTTTAACAGCATATCATGCCATCTCTTTTCTCAGTCTCATGTGCATTCTGAAATAATAACTTGTACAGAAAACAGGCCATTTAAGACAGTGCACCTGGCAATTGAAGACCAGTCTGGTAATTCTCAGCTTCCAACAGAAAAACCCTCTGATTTGATATCTTTTGAAGTCAATAGCTTCTCGTTTTGGTGTGAACCCAGAGCACGCCTATGGTTTGGGATATCTTTTTGGTAAACTTTCCTGCCTTTGCAAAGATACCAGTAGTCAGCTGCTCAACAGTATGGTGGTTTCTAAAGAAATGAAGGAGTTGGGAAGTCTGTGTGGCAGAAGCGAGAGATGCGCACAAGCGGTATTGTTAATAAAAAAGCTGTCATTTATAAAAAACTTACAAGTAAGTATGTTCAAGTCAGATATGAATCAAGACATGTCCCACTCTACTGATAACCCTAAAGCTCATACTGAAAATGTCATTCAGCCTGAATGCCTTGTGCAAGAGGCTACCATGATGTGCGTAAGCACAGAAATCTCCGATGCCTGTGCAAGAAAGCCCTCTGAAGGAGTTGCCTGCTGTGGTAACAATGAAGAGATGGAAAACAGTCTTGTGTTAAAACAGAAATTTGTGCATTTTCCTGATGTCTTTTTGAAACTTCAGGTCTGTTCTCTGGAAAAAGTCCTTGAATTTTTAACCTGTGCCTTACCTCAAATTTGTATTAGAATGGAGGAGTTGAAAGGTATATATTGGCTCGCTGTTGGAAGTTGCAAAAAACCTGATCCAGAACCTGCTTGCTTGCTTTTGTTCAGCTCCGTTCTGTATGTTGTTGTTTCATCAGTCGAACAAGACATCTGCCAGAGTTCCTTGGCAATGTTTCATGAGGTTCCCGTCATCACAATAAAGGAGATTCAAGTTGGCTTTGCTGGACAGAGCATTAGTCTTCTGTGTTCTACTGAAGATGGTTTACTCACAATATTTACCTATAACAAACACTTCACTCAAAGAATTTGCCATGTTGTAATGAATATTTTGATTTCTAAAACAGCTGATGGGAAAATAATGTCTTTTATCCTGCATCTAACTTTGTGGGTGCTTCATGCCAGCGATCACAATTTGACAGCCTTCAGTTGTACAGTTTGAATGATATCCGATGTGTAGTTTTGCCAGACAAAGAGAATTTCACAAAAATTGAGCTTGTGTTTTCTAGAAGGAGCAAGGCTGGATCTGATTCAGGAACTGGTTTTTCTAAATGCTGTGAAAAAGAAATAAATACTCAACTGACAGTCATCCCATCAATTCTTCAAAGCAGTTTGCATATCCATTCAGAAATCTGGAAATTAACATTCAGTTCAAGTGAAGAAGCCATTTGGCTAATTATGCATCTGACTAGGTGTTGAAACCCAAATACGTTTAGATATATTTGAAATAAGAGGCTAATGAATATTGAGAAAATCCTTTTTTTTTTTTTAAATCAATAGGCAGGAGAGTCCTTTGAGCCGAATGTGTATATGCATGTTGGCAAAAATCATTACTACTTGAATGCTTGCTTTTTGTGGGTCTGTAATATGCTATACATAAATTTTCCTGGGAAAGTAAGGAAATGAAATGTTTATACCTTACGTAGTAGGTGGATCAAGACTGTAATTAAAGCTGTGTCTTCTGATTTCCATTTTGGCTGTTGTTTCTGGCTCTTTCCATCTCCCAACTGTCTTCATTAATGTCTTCTCCATTCCTCCTTGATTTCTTCTTTCTTAATCTTACTGAGGGTCTTTGTGTTTCATGCGTCTCATCTGTTTCATGCCATCGATCTCAATATTTCAAATCGATCTCAGCATTTCAAAATATCTGGATTTTTTTTTGTTTTGTTTTGTCTGAACTGTAAGATACATTTAGGTTGCTATGGTACATTCACTGCATGCTCTTAATAGTATGAATGTTTATAGCTTTTATACTTAAAATTTTGGGAAGAATAGGATTGACAGTTCCTATTGGCTTTGGAGTTTTGCCTTGAGGATTGTTGAGTCTTGCATGAAAGTTTGTCACAAGTGCAAAAGGAGTTGTGTTTGGCTTATTCTAGGCTTGTTGATTGAATTACCAGGAATTTAATTTGCCATATCTCTTTTGCCTTGAGTTTGCCCACTTTGCCTAGAGCCAAGGCTACGTGGAAGCAGTGAAACAGAACAATAAAAATGCAGAGAACATCCAACGCTTTTTTAGATTTCTGCCTCCTCTCCTTTTCTTGCAGCAAAGCAATGCATGGCTGTCGCCATTTAGAGCAGGGTGGCAATAAACAGAGCAGCAGATGCTCTCTGTTAACCCCCCTGCCTCCCACCAGGAGAAGGGAAAAAAGGAGGAAAAGGGAGAGAGACTTACAAATTTAATATTAAAACAGCTTTACTAACAATAGTAGTAATACTAATAATATAAATAAGAGAAAGAAAAAAAAATATTCAAAACCGGTATGGAGTTTCCCCGGAGTTGGGTGCTGGGTGCTGGCATCCCGCCAGCGGCTGGGCAGACACACTCGGAAGGCCCAGACTGGCCTCAGTGGTAGATGGGAATTGGATTCAGGAATGCATGGATCGGAATCTGGATCAGGATCGCAGGCAGGACAAGGCACAAGGTCCTCTTCAGCAGCTGGCCATGGATGAAGAGAGCGAGACCCTTGTGATCCCCCAGCTTTAAACTGAGTATGACGTGCATGGCATGGAGTACCTTCTGTGTCAACATCGGGTCACCTGTTCTGTCCACCCCTCCCTGCAAGTGCCACCCGTTACGACTCCTCACTTGTGGGACCTAAAAGGTCTGTCAGTGACCCACTATAGTAATAATTATAACCATGGGCCTTTTTCTGCATTCCATTCCTACAATTAGCTCATTAAAACTATAAACATTAGGTGTTACCCGCTTTGGAGTGGACACTGTCTGTAAAATATGCAGTCAGCTTCAGACAAATGCAGTGACTTGGGAGAACTTAGATGTAAGGAAGATTCACTAAAAGAGAATCAATTCTGTTTTAACCAAAACCAGGACAATGGCTTTAAGTCATTCCTATTTATTTTGGCCAGATAGTTAACTTATGCTCCTCCACAATAGAATAAGTCTTTAAATTCCCTTGATGTGAGTGTTTAAGGAAAATGTGATGTGAAAATGAACCTGATTAAAGGGTGTAAACAGATGTTGGTTGTGCTGTAAACAGCATTTCAACTGTTGGTCATACTACTGTACCTATGGCAAGACAAACGTTTTGAGGTTTGTGATCTGCATACGTGCTTCTCATGCAGTTAAATGGTTAGTTAGCAACTGGGGATACGGCCTGAAAGATGGAGTAAGTTTAACTCTAGACTTCTCTTCATGTAATGTGCCTGACTTGACTTTCCTCTTCTACTTTCTTACTGATGGGTTTGTTGATGCTGTGAGATTGCATCTCTGACAATCTCTTTAATGTTACATTCCAAGAAAGAATGAAACTATTGGACATTAGTATTCTTTCATTACTTGATTCTTCCCTGTAGCTTAGTACAAGGTTATTCTTTAGCTGTTAACCCTGTCAGATGTTCAAATAATAAATAAGCTGTTGTCTCCCATCTTTTGTTTCTTCCCTTGGAAAGGGAGCTGAATACCTCTGAATCCTGTTGCTTGAATGTGCCATCTGCCTTGTTTGAGGAGGATGGTCTTTGGCAGAAAAACCAGTGGTATCTGATCTGAAATTCTAAATTCTAAATTCTGGAAGTATACTGCCAGTAGAGGTGCAGTCTTCTACTAGACAGAGTTAGACTTCAGTCTCTCTACTAGTATAAGAACATTTCCCATTTGTTCTTACCATATGTTAAGACAGGAGAACATAATTCACCTGGGATTTTAAAGAAATAACTTGGATGGGGAAGTTGTGTCTGCAAGGATGAATGCTTGTTTGGACAGAGAATTAAGGGGGTTTTTATCATAACAAAACCTTCTGCTACTTTAAGGAAATCCGAAGATAAGCAGAATGTGTCACATTATTTTGAGGTATGGTTTTCGTTGTTAACAAAAAATGTATACACAAATATCTCACAGAACATAAAGTGGACAGTAGTTATGAGTTGGAGTGTAAGTTTGTGTCAGTCCACTTCAAGAGTGGCTCCCTCACTGACATCAGTAAGGTATTTGTTCTGAACCTTGTCGAAAGTTAACATGAAGTGGCACTATCTGGGAGGACTGTCTTAATTAACACTGTTAAATGACAGTAATTTCTGCAAATGATATAGCCCAAAGTGTTAAATGTTTGTGTGTTGTATTCCATGTAACATGGTTTTCGTCTTGTGTGTTTGTTTTCAAATCTAACTCAATGAATATTCTGAACTTTCATGAAAAAAATGACTTCACAGCAGTATCTTTTCTTTTACTGTAAATGAAACACAACATAGTGATCAATGTTTATGACTATCAAAGCGTTATTTAATGTATTAGGGTGTGTTTTTCACAGTGCTTTGTGTTTGAGATTATTTTCCTCTCTGACTATTAGCTGTTTGTAATAGTTCCCTGAAAATGACTGCCAATAAATTATGTGTTGGAAGAGGTGACTTTGAGTGACTTTATGGTTTTATTGTTTTTTTAAAATAGATGATATTGTTGTCAAGGCAATTAACTCCTTTTTGCCCCAAGGAAAGAATTGCTCACGTTTCTACACTTCAGAAAGGAGTTTTAGATGAAAAGTCAGTAACTTGAGGAGAAATGAAAGAAGGGCAAAATGGAGAGGAGAAAATACTTGTTGTGTAAACAAAAGTCACTAAAAGTATTTTTTCATTCCAATGCAAACTTTTTTTGTATTTTCACTAAAAAGAGGTTTGTGGAAAACATCTAGATAAAGTCAGTTAATTGGAACTAAAATTCACTTTCTTTGTATTTTCTTTTTCACTAGTGTAAGCACTAACATTAAGGGAAATGACACTGGCATTTATGATTGACTAGTAACAAAATAACAGCCTCCCCTTCTTGATAGCTGGGTGAGGATGCCAAAAAGCCGTCTTGTAACAAATAGCATTCAGAGAGACATTTAGGAATGAGTTTCAAACTCTTCTCCTGCTTCTACACGGTATCATGTGTACTGAGAGTCACTGAGAGCTGCTACAAAGAGACCAAGTGTCAGTGAGTGGAAGTGCCAGACACATTCACGTGTGGGGATAGTGTTGGTCAAGAGTGAAGAATTTTGACCAGGCAACATGTCTCATGGTAGTTGCTAAGGGATTGAAAATGAATGTTGAGAATACAGTATCTGTATATGTGATTGATAGTATCACTAAATACAAATATATAACATGGTAATAACTTTAAAGTGATAGTTTTTCAATCTTTTTTGTTATGGTTAACTTATATTTGTTATAGTGCTGTGTTTTTTTTTTTAAAGTACAAGTTCTTTAAGCTTTTCAGATCAAATACATTGAACTAAAAAGTGGAGGATTTCTAAAAGGCAGTTTCTGTACTTATTTATTGTAAATACATATGCTGGTTTTGGACACACTCATGGCAAATGATTAATCCTTTCAGTTGCAAAAATGTTTTATTTTTGACATAACTTCAGAGTTACAGATTCCCTCTGGCTGTTAGTCAGAGGAATGTGCCCTGATTAAAAATACCTTCTTAGACTTTTTTGTCAAGACCATAAAAATTTATCATAGTTCAGTTTTCTGTTAATAGATATGATTTAAAGAAAATAGTGGGAAACCGTTCTGACAGTGGATTACTGTCAGATATATTTATCTATACTTTCTTAATTATAACATCAGTTTGTATTTAAAAGTCTAAGACCTAGGCAATTTCTGAATTGCCTTGATCCCCTGCAGCTTTGCGTGATATTGTAACCAGGTTTGTTTATATAAAGACATACAAAAAATATGGCTGGCTGTGAAGGCTTGATTCTTATATTTATTTAGAAGCTCTTCTGCTTTCTCCTGTTTTTGTTATCTGAGATGAAAATGCCTTTTCAAAGAATAAGCAGTATTTTTTAACACATTTCACATAAATTTTTTCATGCATGACAAAATGATACGGCTTGCTTCTATGTTCTCGTTCCCTGCTTTCCTGGCTTAGAACATTTTCTCATTTTTAGTGAAGTTCTTCTCTTTTTTCCTTATGTAGTGATTTTGGTTTTCCTTTGTTCTCCCTATTTGGTATGCACATGAAAGCGGATGGTCTGTCATTCTCTGGGAGCAAATCCAGATGACCTAAAGGACCCAATTAAAATTAGTATTCCACGCTATGTCCTGTGTGGGCAGGGAAAGGATGAACACTATGAGTTTGAAATAAAGGTAAGTGCTTTTGAGTTGCTTCTCCTTAATGTTTGGGGTCTCTGTACATACATTGCTTGCATCTGTGCAGCAGTAGCATCATGGTAGCAATAATAATAGAAAAATGCCTTTTGCTTAAAACCAAATAGTTCCTAGTTTGCTGTAACCAGCTGTTGGTGTTCACTGTGACTGCAACACAGTTAGCAAAGATGGAAAGAGCATCTGGAAGTGCACCTGAGAATTTGCAGATTTCAGAAATCGCCTTACTAACCCCAGTGAAATGTAGATTTTGTTCCACTAAGTGCAATTTTTGATTCTGTTTATTTCTGTTGTTGAAGTGGCCTTGAAGGCATGCACAATACAGGACACTACAAAGACAGGTATTTTCCAAGTGGAACAGTTTTATGAAGGTGATCAAACTCTTGTGGTGAGCAGTTCCAGATACAATATAAAGTAATTCAGTTTGAAAGCATTGCAGTGATAAGGATTAAACACATATTGGTTATAGGAAAGCTCTGTATTGAGTTGAGTGTCAAATGTAGAAAATGATTAGATTAAAAATATTTACCTGTATTAATGAAAACATAATTAAAGTATTTTGCACTTATCAACAACAAAGGCTTGATTTCTAGTGGGCTCTCTTTGTTCTGATTCTTCCCACCCTGCTTTTCCAAGATCTCTCTTCTCCAGACTGTTATCTGCTTCCTTTCCATTCTAGTGGCTTCCTCAGTTGATCTGTGCAGAAATGCTGGGGAAAAAATGCATATTCATTATGTTTTGTGGTACTAAGCCAGTGTTTTTTCAAAGGAAGATGTGAAGTCTGATTGGAAAAGTGCTCTCAGTGCATGTGGATGTGTAGCATAGCTGATGTACGTGGCATCAGAGACAGAATTGGCAGTCTTCTTCACTGAATGTACAGCCAGATGCTTTGTTAGCTGGTGTTAAGTTGGAGGAGTGACCTGACCTCACAGTATGTAGGACCATTTTTGAACTATGCTCACATTCTCTTTTACAAAGGCTTTTATTAAGATGGGCAATCTTAGCTCTGTTTCAGCTAATTAAATTTTTATCTTAAAACATATTGCAAGATTTGTGGATGGAATACTTCCTTTTTCCTTTTAAACTTCGAATGTCCCAGGGCCAGCAAAAGCCCAGAGCCATAGAGATGCTGAGAGAAGAGGAAGCACATACAAAACTTCCCCAAGGACTTTTCTAGCTGCCAACTATTATCAGCACACGGGATTTGCTCAGCTGGGTAATGATTAGTGAAGGTAAATATAGTAAAAAGGTATTTTCTCTTTTTAGCAAGTTGGTGGATTTCTTTTCGAAGTATTCTCCCTCTCTCGCTAAAAGCCATATAAGCAGCTGCGAGATGAAGGGACAGTTAGAGTATGTGTGGGAAGGCTTGGACTTACCTGGGAAGAAATGTAATGGAAGAAAAATCTTGGAAGGGGGTGGGATTTGTAACCAGGAAAGAACAGGGTGCTCTGGTGAAAAGCAGCGTATGTGGAATGGCTATTCTCTTCTGGCGTAGTTTCCAGCACTATCTTTTCTCTGTCTCTCCTGTGCCATTTCTAGGCTGCCTCTGAAAGAAAATGCTGCTTAAATAGCTGTTTTGATGAAGTTCGAAGAAAAGAAATGGATGATATGTGGAGTAGGAAATGGGCTATCACTTTAATAATTGTATTTCCTTGCTGTCGTCTTCCTTAGAGCACTAAATATTTCTATTGAAGCTCCTATGGAACTTAGTTTGGTAGTCCTTGGGATATTTCTTACAGTCATTCACTTACACAAATCAATCAACTGTTTATGCTTTTTCCTTTGCTTCCATGTCTCTGTATGTCACAGTGGGCTGCTTTTGCTGTGGTCAGGATTTGGCTCCAAGCTACAATCCACAACCTTCCACAAACTTTTCTATTTTAAACCTTTCCCCTGCAGAGCTCCCAGCTCTACTTTGGTCTGTATTAATCTTCAGCTGCTGTTACTTTTATTCTATGGGAAATCAGAGTACATGCTGTAGTGATTTTTTTTGCCTTAAAAATCAGGAAAGTAGGAAGACAGGGCAGGAAGGAGAGAATGTATATCTGTTTATATCATCCCTTCTTGATGGGTCATGATGTTGAAATAATTCCGTATTTCAGTCTTACCTTACTTTGCTCAAGATTATTTTCAGATGATCTCGTATTAGAATATGTGTCAGCCTTGGGGAAGGGCTGAGGCGTTAATCTCATTTCTTTTGCTAGTTCCCAGATAAGCTTTCTTCACCAAGGTTCCTCTTACTCTTGGAAAAATGAGTAGCTGACCTATCTGCATGTAGCACTTTGAAATCTGACAAAGGGACAAGGGATGATTGAGTTGAATTGCAAGACAGTCCCCAAACCTTTGAATCCTATGTATCTCAGAAGTATTTTCTTCAGCAGATGTTTCTAGTCATTGTGTTTGTAGTTAAATCCTGGCATATTCCTGTATAGAGGAAGAAATATGATTAATTTCTGTGTGTGACAAATACCTGAATTCTTATTGTGACATACAGTAGTAAAGGTTATTTCCTTTTTATGCTAAAAGAGAGAGAGGGAATTCCACTTTTCTTGGCAGCATCACAGCCAGTTCATAAGTTTTTCAACTCTAACATACCATCCAAAAATATTTTCTTTTAGTGCAGTTTCAGCATCTTGTCCATCTAGAAATATATAACCTTTGGGAATGGGCCAGCTTAAGATCTGTCTACTTAAGTTCTTCCACTGGGTAGAGATCCTACTTTAAGATGTTGAGTGATGCCCATGAGAACCAATTGGAGAGAGTTCAAAATAGAAACAGAATCATACTTTAATTAGAGTTAAATATCGACTTCTCCTTTTGCAGCAAGAGATGTCACAGAGCTGTTTGTGCTGGTGTGCTACGAAGTATTCAGTATGAATACATACATTTCCAAAAAACCTTCCATATGAGTGACAGTTTTATGTGTTGTCTTTAAAGACAGGATGAAACAGGAGTAATTTAATCAGGTCTAAACATATTTGTGTTAGTGCTGAATTCCAGGAAACTATTCTTGTATTCTCCTCTTCCTTTCATGTGTGATACACAGAATATTCAGACAAGGCTGCACTAGAAAAAGCGTCTAGGAAGAGCTTTTGCATCCATAAGAGACTTGGTGTCTTTTACAGACAGCGCCTGTGGTTGCAGACAGTACCTATGGATGGCAGAAGGAGCAGCAAAACAGTAGGGAAGGGGGAACTCCAGCTCTCATAAAGGCACGCAGGGTCTCCCAAGAGCACGTAATCGAAGCAAAGCCTGGAATCAGGCACAGCCCTGCAGGAGGGGATCCTCTGACAAGAGGGAAAGTTTGCGATAAGCCTTCTCATTTTTAATGAACTTTCCCTTGTTGTTCTGAATTCTCTCATTTTATTTATCCTGTTTGATATTCTTTCAAAACTGGCTTTTGCTTGTGTTTCAAAGCCTCACAGTCATCTTTGGTGACTTCTCTGTAGGAGAAGATCCAGGCAGATGCACTCCAAAGCAGTGCTTTTCTGCAGGTCTGGTCACAGTTCTGTTCAGCCAAATGCTGTGATGGGTCTGCTCAAAATATCCATGTTTCTAGTCAACATTTCTTTCTGAGTTCAGCGAACTATTGCAGCATTGAAGTAAAGCAGAAGCAGTGCTCATTCATTGATACATAGTTCTTAAACAAAATGATGTATGCCCCATATCTAACTAAATCAGGAAAAAGAAAAGCCCAATCTTCCCCCAACTCTATTGGTTTAATACCCTCAATAATTAATAAAAAAAGGTTTCAATAAGTACGTCTGCATAAATCCCTTAATATCTTGCAAGTTTTAGCTTTTCAGATGCTGTATTCATTGACAGTGTGAGCAATAGTTTCAACAAGGTATGTTTGGAGAAATACGATTTTTCACAATTACTGTAGGCAGTTTAACCAGCCCAGGTAAGTAAGGTGGGCATGTGCTGTTCTTTTTGATTACTTCAGAATCAGGTGGAATATTTCTTACCTTGCCCCTGTGCCCCGCCCCTGGTTTTACTTCTGTTTCTATGGGGCAGAAGGGGAACAAATTCTGTGACAAAATTCTGTGACATGATTTACAGTGAAATAGGATGACAATGTCTGTTAGGCTATTTTCTGTCAATCATCACACAGAAGAGTTAAGGAGACAGGGCTGTAATATCTGCTTTCAATTTTATAAGTTTTACGTAGGAAATGGTATGCTTGAATTAAAAAAAAGTCACAATTTGAGGCAAATCTAGGATCACATAAGTGCCCGGATAGGAATATTATAAAAATCTGTCTTACATACTTACTCAACCTTTTTTTTTTTGGTTAAGAAAATAGTTTAACTACTATATTAGCAAATTACAAGTAATAAGTAAAGGGCTGTTCCAATTTACTTGCTGCTGTTCAAAAGATCTGCATATGTGTCCATCCTTTGCATACAGAGCCTCTGTGGTGTGTCATACAGCCTTTTCAAATGCGGGAAAAGAATCCCAGCCCAAACTGGTTGGATCAGCTGTAGAAGTAAAAGGCCCTATTGTGGAAATGCTATTGCTATGCCAGGTGTGCTGTAATTCTCCTGTTGATTCTAATAACATTATTAGTGAGTTTTAGGGACCAGTTAAGATTTTGTTTAGCTTTGAAATTAATTTTCCAATTATATCAGCAGTAACAACAATAAAATTTTACAGTGTATTTACCTGCTAGTCTCGTTACAAGAATTAGGAAAGAAAATGGAGATGATGATAGGGACTGAGTCAGGTCAAGCCAAACCACCAGGGCACGCTCTAGAGAAAACCCTTCAGTTCTTAGGCAGCAGAGATACATGGTTTTTCTGTTTTCCCTCCTGACTGTCTCTAACAAGTTGTTTATGAAACTTTGTAGAAGAAAGCTAATAAATAACTGGCTATGGGCAATTTGATTTGGGTAAGTTTGGTACCACCTTGTATCACCTAGACAGCTGTCAGATGTACAGCTAACAACACGATTGGCAAGCTGACATAGATGCTCTTCCCCAGCCTGTGTAGCTGGAAGTGTCCTGGATGCTGTGTGGTAGATTGCTCCCCTAAAGGCATGCTGCTGTGAAAACCCTAGGGGAAAAAGAGGGCATTTCTGAGTAAAGATCATGTACAAATGAAATTATCACGGCAAAATTTCACAACTTGGAAATATCAAAATACAGAATTTAAGAAAAGCAGTAATGAGTAACATCTTTGTTTTATGATTATCCATTGCACTCTAATGTTTACTTGAACATTGAAATCACAAAGGCCTTTAAAGCAATTATTCAGAACAAAATTTATAATTGGTTAACCAAGATCAGTTTAACATGCATATTCCTGAATTGTTACTTTTTTTAGTTAAAAGTGCCTATGCATGTTAAATCCACTCATCTGATTTGTAAAGTTTGAGACATTGTTAACAATACATTCAGGAAATATAGTCCATCATGCAGGCATCCTAGTAGCAGTCAAGCTTATTGATGACATGAAAGATTAATTTTATCAGAAATAATGCATTTGCATTGTGGAGATGTGCTATAAGAACCTATATTTTAATATCTGTGAAATGTTTTGAGAATGCTGTTTTTGTTTAGTTTTATCTTTTACTTAAAATAGAGGTAAAAATAGTAAAAAAATAAACCTGAAACCCAAAACCTGGTTCCTGATGTCATAAGACACACAACAATTTTTGGTTTCTACGACACTTCCCCAATTTCCTTGTTCCTTATATAGCAGCAAAGGCAGCAGGGAACGGGAACTGTGGACCAGAGGTGATTTTGTTGCGAGCATGAGGTAGCAGTTGTCAGCAACGGTGCTTGGATGCTGATTTCTTCTGGCTTTGTTGCTCTGGTTTCTTTTTTTCCTACTCAGTTATCCTGTTCCATGCAACTTTCTTCAGCTCCGTAACTTTCAGATCTGCTCAGTAGCAAAGGAACTACTTGTTGATTTTAGGAGTCGCTTAAGATTAAAAAAACCTGTGTCTTTGTGAAATGTGTTTTATGAAAATGCTTTTTTTTGATCTTCGTGTATAAAATCATAGCCAGGTGGAGGTAATATCAGATATTAGGCCTGTTACATGAAAAAGAAACAGTCTTTTCAGGTTTAGGCAGTGCCAGTTGGCTTTCTCCAGCTCTGGCAGTCAATGTAGAAAAATGCTCACCTCTCCCTGCAGCATTGCTTCTTGGTAGCCTTGGATCACCAGAGCTACAGAAAGACTTTGTTGTGGAGTCAAAGGCACCAGTCACAGCGTTTTTATGACCCACTTACAAATTTCTTTCACCTAATTTCAGACAGTGAAAAATTTTCTTTCCCAGAAGTTTTTGTTGTTTTCTCAGTTCCAGTGAGGATTTTGTGAATAACTGATGGTAAGTTTGACTTGCCCTCCCCCTTCACTCCTGTTGCTATGCACTTTATTCACAGGAGTAATTCTGTTGATTTTAATGAAACTTTCTGTGTAAATTGAATGTTCATCAACATATTGATGACACAGACCAAGAGTGTTTTAAAATAATATCTTCTACTGAAAGCTGGCATGTATAATTTTTTACCCTACAAAATGGAATCTCATTCTATGTGGTAATGAACTCTGTGCATCTGAGAAATGTGTATTTATTAATTGTGTGTATCTACGTATATGTGTGTGTATATGAGAATATACGTTTCTATGAGTGTACAGAGAGGCTACAATACACTTGTGCTGGGTGGTATTCATTCATTAATAGAGCATCCACTGATTGTAATGCTGAGAGCTGCATAGCTGCACCAAGGAATTATTTTGGGTATTTTAATGTGTTTACAGCCTTGTTAAACCACTCTGGAAGACGAAATAAATGTGTTCAGGTTGTTTTGCTTTGCAATCTGTGCTCCTTATTAAATACAGTTCTGTCACTGAAAGAAAAGTTATGCAAACCTGTAAAAGCTTATGCATTTAAGGGAACTAAGAATTGCCCATTTTAATCTGCTAACCTTGCACACTTCATGGTTTTTAGTGTTGTGAATTGTGTGGTTTTACTTCTGTTTCTTCTTTTTGTGTTGTCTGATGTAGATAACAGTCCTGGATGAGACATGGACAGTATTCAGGCGGTACAGTCGTTTTCGAGAAATGCATAAAACTTTAAAACTGAAGTATCCAGAGGTAAGTTTTGGTAAAATTTCTTTTGCAGAAAAGAGTGGAGGTAGAGACTTGAAAATATTTTTTTTTTGACAGATTTTTACTCAAAACTAATATTCCTCTCAGCCGTATGCTTCTAGTAAGATTGGCAAGCCCTGCAGCAGTTTAAAGCTCCAAGACTGCTAGATGCAGGATGGATGTTGTAGTGAAACTGTGACTCCGTGTGTTACCATTAATTCCCTTTACTGCTGACTGATGTTGTTCCCGGGAGGCTGCTGTTTTGTTCATTGCAAGATACTTAAAGTCGGATCATGTCATCCTGACAACTCCTCATTTAAAAGAGCAGCATTGTTCCACAGATACTCTTTTGTAATAGTGACTTCCAGGTTTCTGCAAAATGGAAAATTGATCTTTCTGACCGCCTTGGAGACTCTGGACATTCAGGATATGAGGAGCTGTGCTTGACAGAGCTTTAGTTCATTGGAGTGAGTGTTTGTAGAATTAGAGTTCTTGGTTTCTACATCTAACTTTTAATTGTTAACATTTTATTTCCTTTCTATGTGTCCCTTTGGATATTAGAAGAGATAAATCATTCAAGCAATAGAACGGCTCCCGCTTTGAGAGTTAGCACAAGTAAAGAAGCCTGGGCAATATATTAAAAAACCTTAATATGTTCAAGAAAGGGATGCAAAAATATGGTCTTCATTGACATATTCTTTAAGCTAAAAATGAATTGAGCATAGAATGACCTTGAGTTTTAAAGAGTAAAGTACGTAGATCTGTGTTTTGTGGAGATTCTGGGACTTAAGATCATTCCCGTTCCAAAACAGTATGAAACCCAGAAATTGAAACTACCATGTACCAAATATCTCAGGAAAGTTTAAAAAAAAAAACAGAAAAAAACTAACAAAAAAAAATTAAGTCATCTTTTCTGATTGTCAGGAAAATTTTTAAAGGTAAAAATGAGTTTTGACTCAAAAGTTGATATCTTCTCTTTCCACAAATGCTTTTTAAAAAATTACTTTCAAATGAATGTAAGTATCGTATTTTTGATTTGAATGAATTGCTATTTCCTCTTGGATGTTAGACTTGTAGTCTGTCAACAATATCCTGATTGCATCTAATTCTTGAAAAAAACATCTAGGCAGTTATCCGGTTGAAAAAGGCCACCTGAATACCTCTGCAGACTGCTCTTCCCCACTTAGGAAAATGTGTTTGAGTAGTCATTTTCAGAGTCTGTTATTGGTCCTGGCAATACATGGAGGAACAATTTGGCTTTTACAGTTATGTCAGAGGGAGATCAACTTCTTTCTTGTATGTACTAATCAGATTCAGGAGGAATCTGATGTTGTTCAAGCCACTAGTAAAATGTCTCGTGTGCTGCAGCATGTTAATGTCACCTTTCTGAATCAAGCATTTGTGATTCACAGCACAAATTCAGGCTTTTTGGTGTTATAGGAGGGAGTGGGGTTTTTTTTTGTCGTTTGTTTGTTTTGAAGAACTGTTATAATATAGGAGTGGTGTTACAAGGTCGAAATAAAGTCCACCATCCAAGAGCATACAACTGAGGAAAAAATCCCAGCCCAGAGAGAAGGTACATGGTTTTCTTCATCTTGGAGTCTGTGTTTGGCTGGGATAGGGTTAATTTTCACAGCACTGTAGCTGTCAGTAACTGTAACAAAGTAGTTGTTCTCTACAACTACCTGAAAGGAGGTTGTAGTGAGGCAGGTGTTCGTCTCTTCTCCCAGCTAACTAGCGATAGGACAAGAGACAATGGCCTCAAGTTGTGTCAGGGGAAGTTTATATTGGATATTAGCAAAAATTTCTTTCCTGAAAGAGTGGTCAGACATTGGAACAGGCTGCCCAGGGAGGTGGTGGAGTCACCATCCCTGGAGGTGTTCAAAAAACGTGTAGATGTGGCACTTTGGGACATAGTTTAGTAGGCATGGTGTTGTTGGGTTGACAATTGGACTTGGTGATCTTAGAGGTCTTCTACAACCTATGATTCTATTTCTAACTTTTAAGACTGTGTTTAAAATTAGCTAGTTCCGAAATCTGCAATGCTCATGCCAAAGCCTTGGTCCTGTGGTGACTGAAGTCCCAGTCTGTTCACAAGTCCAATGATTGTTAAGATTGGTGTTCAGAAACTGTCATGACCAGAAGCAATTTAAACTCATAGGTTACGTGTACTTTAGAGAGCAGGGTGTAGCATATAGTAATGAAGATGATAGTACAAATCTTGCTACAAATGCTATCTCATTATTTTAGAAAGTTTAGGTTTGTCTGTATATGGATTCTTAATTCAGGTTCTTTCAGCCTCTAGGAAATCCATGACCCTTAGTGACCATAGTCTATGACAATATTTAAGATTTATTTCTGTATTTGAAGATTTGATCCCGGGAAGAAATGAACTTGTTGATGTGTTCTGCCTGGACTAGAAGGATGTTTCTGGATATTAACTAGCAAGTTTGGATGTGGGTTTTTTTTTTTTTTCAAATAATCACAAATATGTACTATAGTTTTGGCTTTATACAATGGAAAAACCTAATAGGAGTAACAAATTTAATAGAACCACCTCAGACAAACACCAAGAATGCATAAACAGCCTAACAGCTTTTTTTTTATGAAACTGTATATTTAGGCACAGATTAAAATGAAAATTGTTTGCAACATTGATGTGCTTGTAGATACTGAATGCCATGATATATATTAAAATAATACCTCTGGGAATTATATTATAAAATAGTATAAAAAAAGTATAAAAAGGATATTAAGTATAAGAAAAGCATTTAAGAAATAGTTTTTGAAATACAAATCCTAAAGTAATGGCAGTCCTTAATTTTTGCTTTCTAGCCTAGAACTTTGCTAGCCTTAGTAATGTATCTTTCCATAAATATTGAAAGAAAAATAAAGCAGTAATTTTTAGGGTACATATTTCACAGAATAACAGAATGGTACGAGTTGGAAGGGACCTCTGCAGATCTAGTCCAACCCCTATGCCACAGCATGGTCACCTAGAGCAGGCTGCACAGAACCTCGTCCAGGCGGGTTTTGAATATCTCTAGAGAAGGAGAATCCACAGCCTCCCTGGGCAACCTGTTCCAGCGCTCCATCACCCTCAGAGTGAAGAAGGTCTGCCTCATGTTCATGTGGAACTTCCTATGCCCATTGCCCTCTTGTCATGTCGCTGGGCACCACTGAAAAGAGTCTGGCCCCATCCTCTTGACACCCACCCTTAAGGTATTTATAGGCATTTAGAAGATGCCTTCTCAGCCTTCTCTAGGCTAAACAAGCCCAGCTCCCTCAGCCTTTCCTCGTAGGAGTGATGCTCCAGTCCCCTGATCATCCTCGTAGCCCTCCTCTGGACTCTCTCCAGTAGCTCCTCATCTTTCTTGAAGTGGGGAGCCCAGTACTGGACGCAGTACTCCAGATGGGGCCCCACCAGGGCAGAGTGGGGGGAAAGGAGAACCTCCCTTGACCTGCTGGCCACACTCTTCTTAATGCACCCCAGGATCCCATTGGCCTTCTTGGTAACCAGGGCACACTGTTGGCTCATGGTCACCTTGTCATCCCCCAGGACACCCAGGTCCCTCTCCACAGAACTGCTCTCTAGCAGGTCAGTCCCGAGCCTGTACTAGTGTATGGGGTTGTTCCTCCCCAGGTGCAGGACCCTGCACTTGCCCTTGTTGAATTTCATCAGGTTCCTCTGTGCCCAGCTCTCCAGCCTGTCCAGGTGCCACAGAATGGCAGCACAGCCTTCTGGTGTATCCACCACTCCTCCCACTTTTGTGTTATCAGCAAACTTGCTGTGGGTACACTCCATCCCTTCATCCAGGTCATTGATGAAGAATTTGAACAAGACTGGGCCGAGTACTGACCCCTTGGGGAACACTGGTAGCTACAGGCCTCCAGCTAGACTCTGCCACTGATGACATCCCTCTGAATCCTGCCATTCAGCCATTCTGTGTATAAATGTTACAATAGTATTACATAGATGTGATTATAGCCTTCACCTTTATTTAGTACAAATTACAGTAAATTATGGTATAGATAATTTTAAAGTTCATGTTCTTGTCACCTATAACAGCCAGGAAGTATATACACAGGAAGGACATTTTGCTACATACATGTTTCCAGCTCACATTTCTAATTTTATTATGTTCAGAGTATTCTGAAAGCCTGCAGGTTTATATACGTAGTACTACCATATCAGCTTTAGCTTGCCACTAGCTACATAAGTGATTTAAGAGGTAGATCCTTCAATGCTTCATCTGGCCTTTCGTTCTGCAGCACGAGACTTTTGGCTGCTGATATTTTTAAGAGATATTTTAGGACTTTATTCAGCACCTCAGTCTACAAATAAATAGGAGAATTTGTTCCCATAAGTAAAGTGTGAAAAACATCACTTGTAACCGTATCATGTAGCTCAGTGCAAGTTTGATTAGGGTAAATATTTATTCCATGTGATCCCTCTGATTTCATAATTGCTAGCTAGGACTAGAGCACCTGAGATACAGAAAACTCCCTGGCGTATTTGCTTCCAGCATAATACGCAATTCCCAAGGTATTTCTAGTAGGAAAATGAGTTCAGTGTGTGAATTTATTATTGTAAAACTGAATCTGAATGCACAAGAGCCTTGTGAAAGCCTGGTTTTGGGATTCATTACTGGTTATTGTTGTCTGGTGGGTTAGATTTGTGCAGAAAATTTTCTTGGCTTGGTTCAGGCAATTCCACAAAAATGCAGTTTCTGTCTCTCCTCCTTTAACTTCCTTCCTCTTGTGTTTTGGTCAATGATGAGATATGTTTTTTTTTTTGGTCTGTCCTGAGTAGCTAATGAAACCTGTGAGTTTCCAAATGGTTCTCTGGGAAAATACCATTAGCTTTATAGGTGTTCTGATAGATTCAGTATGAGACAAAATTAATTGACAGGCAGACATCAAATATCACATTTCATTGACTGTTCTGTGCATAAGTCTTATATGTTAGTAGTGTAGAATTTGAAAAAAAAAAAGCATTTTCAGAG